GGCAGTCCCAAGATTAGATGGGTGTCCTGGCGAAACATGTGCAGGAGTAAGCACGAGGGGGGATGGGATTTCGCCAGTTTGAACATTTCAATCAAGCTCTTCTGGCAAAGATAGGTTGGCGTATTCTTAATGAACCCCAGTCGCTTATTGCCCAGATTTATAAAGGCAAGTACTTCCCTCAAGGATCATTTCTGACCGCGACTGCTAGGTCTCGTCCCTCATGGGGGTGGCAGAGTATCCTTCATGGGCATCAGTTATTGGAGATGAGATTAAGATGGCAAGTTGGTAATGGCAAATCGATTTCCTTCCTTTATTCGAACTTGATCCCTAGGTTCCAACTAGATCCCCCATGCTATAATCCGCGGATTTTGCCTGAGGGGGGTGATCCTTTGGTGGCCGAGGTTATTTGTCAGGGGGAAGGAAGGTGGTCTGATGAGAAGCTCCGTCAGTGGTTTGACCCGCCCACTTGTAGGGCTATCAAAGCTATTCCTCTTCCGAGATGGGAGGTGACTGATAAACTTATCTGGCATTTTACGGCTGACGAGGTTTTCTCGATAAAGTCGGCTTATCATTTGGCTGTCGATTTGGACAGGAGGAGGGGTGGGTGGCGATCCTCGGTTAGCTGGATGGATAAACCAAGTTGGATAAGGGTGTGGGAGGCGAAGATCCCTCCGAAATTGAAGGTTTTTTGTATGGCAAATCCTTAATCGGGCTCTGCCAACTATGGAGGCACTTATTGAGAAAAAGGTTCAGGTACTTCCTCGGTGTCCAGTTTGTTGGGATGGCCCGGAGACGATGGAACATCTTTTCCTGTACTGTCCGGTTGCGCGGGCTCTCTGGGACTACTCATGGCTGGAATACCTGGGGGAGGGTTTGCCTCGGCACACTTTTCCTTTGTTTCTCAAACGTTTGTTGGTGCTGATTCCTCAACCGTCAGTGGTTATGGCTGTTGTGCCATCCTTTGGAGGATCTGGCATTCTCGGAATTGGGTTGTCTTCGAGGGCAAACAATTCGGGATTCAGGCGCTCATGCGGCAGTTTCACCAACAATATGAGGAGTGGGTGTCTCTACCAGTGGATCAGGCTCCGAGGATGACTATCCCGACGATGCAGCCAGAAGCGCAACGGGGTGATTCCCAGTTGGTTTGCATGTGGGACGGGGCTACGAAGAGTGGGTCGCACTCGGCTGGTGGGATGGTTCTCTTTGACCCAGCGTGGACACTCCTTCTGGCTAGAGGGGTCAGTTTCCTCAAGTGTATGACCCGGTGATGGTGGAATTGCTTGTGCTTAGGGAAGCTATTATTTGGTGTATGGAGCAAGGCTTGTCGGAGGTCCGGTTTGAGGGCGATGCAAAGGTGATTATTGACAAAATTAATCAAGCCGACACGAGAGATAGCCGGTTGGGTGTTGTTCTTGAAGAGATTGGTCATTACTTTCGTACCCAGTCTGGTTTTAGTGTGCGTTTTGCAGGTCGGGAGAACAATAGGGTAGCTCATTTGGTAGCTAGGAAAGCCCTTTCATTGTATCCGACTACGAGTCGCTTCTTTGATTTCCAGTCCTGGCTAGTTTCCAGGGTGTAAATGTCTATTTTTTATCAATACTAGATATCTTTTGACAAAAAAAAAAGAATAACGATAATAACGGTGAACAGCTCACCGCTATAGTGAAAAATGGTGATTATTTACCACATTTTCCTGCCTTGATAGGTCGAAAATTAGGTCACAGCGACCTAGCAATCACCGTTTTAGCCGACGGCGATCATATATTCACCGCAATCGTCCATTGCGGTGATTAGTCCATTTGGTTTGCATATAAAAACTCATCCCTCACGTACATGTTTCACAATCTGCTTTAATCAACTCAAATTGTTGCAAAAAGTCCCTTTTCAGTTCGCTTCCAGCAACTACGGTTACAAAAACTTAGAATTTTCGGTATGTTATAATTATGTAGGGCTGGGCAATGAACATGTTGGGTGGATTTTGGTCTCATATTGACCAACCCGCATACTAGCGAGTTGGAATAATTGTGACCCGCAATCCACCCACATACCTCTGCAGGTTGGGTTGGGTGGGTGGGTGGCGGTTGGGTTGTGGGTCAACCCGCAAAAACAATTCTCCAACTAGTCATTAAGAAAGTTGACTAACATTTATAATAAGTTCATAGCAAATTAGTAAGAATGTATCAATAATTTATGATTTTGATACAATTAATAATTTATAGTTTACATTGCAATATTTAGTTGATATTAACAATAATTTGCATACCAATATCCAATATCTAATAGATATTGCACAACACGAAACCAATAATAGTAGTCAAAACTATTCATTATTCTCCACCTTTTAAAGTATATGGTCAAACTGTAGTGTAGTTCGAAAATATGATGAATATTCTATACTATAAGAAACAACATTTTTTCATGTAAAAATAGGATGTGGGTCATACGAGTGACCCGAAATCCACCCACCACCCATCCACATAAGTGCGGGTGAAAGATTTATCAATCCGCAATCCACCCACATCAATCCCCCATTGCATGCGAGTCGGGTTATTTGTGGATGGATCGATATCAATCCGCGGATTAACCACCCATATGCCCACCCCTATAATTATGTATTGTTTAGATTTTTATGTTTTGATAATTATATGTCTGTATTCAGTGAATTTATTTAGATTAATTATGGTATGATTGATGTTAGTTAGTTATGAATTAAGATGAAGTTGTTTAGAATTCTCATGTTAGATTAGTTAGTTGGGGTTGTTTATGGGTCTGGATGATATTATTTTTGTAGCCCTAAGTACTAATTATACTATACTAATCTTATTCGAGTTAAGCTAATAGTTACTTATTATAAATTGCAGACATGAGTAAATTTAAGAAGTTTTGGTTTATTATTCGGTGGAATGGTCGGGTATCAAACTCGGACATTGGGATCAATTATGAAGATGGCGAATCCACTATGTTAAAAATTGAGTCGCGATTTACGTGGCTAGAACTCCGTGACATTTGGGCAGAAAGGATTTGTATGGGCGGACAAACGAGAGTTGGTCAAATTACTTACTGGTATCCAAACATGAGTTCTGGCGGAGTTATGCACGAAGAAGTTGTCATAAATGATGATGACGCGGTGAACATGATGATACAGTTCCTATCTGAAAACAGGATGCGGCTTGCAGAGGTGTATGTCGAGACCGAGCCGGATCAAGAACCATGGATCCCATACCTTCAAAGAGCAACTATAGCAAGTGGACCTCAACAACACTTGAAGGTTAAAGAATGGATCGACCAGAGAGAAAGAAACTGGATGTTATTCTCATAATCCAAATTTGAGAGGAGGACTCAGAGGACTTCTGGGCGTGGAAGCTTACAACCGAGGGAAAATTCACAGTTAGGACGACATACCATGCTATCCATAAGGCTAATGCAAACGTCATACCCACGGGAAACCCAGATAGCTGGAAATGGATCTGGGGACTTGAGCTCCCACCGAAGTTAAAGTTCTTCAAATGTAGGTGTTCTAGAAATGGACTGGCAATGAAGGAAAGGCTACGTCATCGCAAGTGTTCCCCGAACGCTACATGTTAGGTTTGCTAGAACCCAAACTAATCCCTCTACCACTTTCTCTTCGCCTGTCCTCATGCTACTAGCTCTTAGAACAACATTTTTCCCTCCCTTCCCCTTCCCTCTCAGAATACTTCCTTCTTCGACTGGTTCTGCTCCATAAGAGACACGGTCCAGCCTAGATGTTTGACTCATATTGTTTTCCTTTGCTGGAACATCGTGAAGGCAATGAATGAGGGCTCCATGGCCCCCAAATATCTATCTCCAAACTTATAGGGAATTCATGGAGTGCACATCGTGCCGGAGGGACCCCACCCTCAACCCTCCTCATCCCAGTCAACTCAGGGTAACCCAGAATCATATAGCTCCACCGCCAAACAATCATCCTATGGTGATTCACTGTGATGGATCGTTTCTAAACGACTCCCAGCCGACAGCATATGGTGAGGTTTCTGTTAACTACCATAGACAAGTATGTGATGGGCGAGCTGACACTTTCCTTTGTTCTACCCCGATGGAAATTGAAACGAAAGCTCTAGTTGAAGATCTCAAGTTAGCACAAGAATATGATTCTGATTGCATCGTCCAGTCTGACTGCCAAGTCCTGGTTCATGCCCTTTCTCATGACCCCACCCAATGGCCTTGGAGATGTGCTGCACAGTTCGGATCAACGGTTACAATTCTTCGAACGAACCCAAGAATCAAGATTATTAAAGTTGTGGCAAGAAAGTTCAACACTCGAGCTGACTGGGTTGCTCGTTCAATGGCGCGTTCAACGCTTTCAGACAACTAGATTAATATTCTTTATCTAATTTATGATTTACTCTGAATTATGTTGTAACACTCGTTTCTCTTCTTTCGATGATGGAATTAAAGTGAATTTTACTGTAAAAAAAAAGTCATGAGGTATGGGTTAAAGAACGAAGAACAGTTTTGGGCCGTAATCTCTTTCTTATTGGTATTGGTCTTGCCGAATCCTTTGAAGTCTCGGACTTGGACTCGGGCTTGGGATAGATTTTGAAGAGATTTGCGGACTAAACTCATAACTTGTCATTTTTTGTTCAACTTCTAGTTCAATTTCAATCCCGTATCTCCTTGCCCCGCCACTCTCCGGCACTCACCCGTCCTCGCCGATTGCCATCAAATCTATCTCACCGGAGAAACTCTTCCCTATAAGTTATCTTACGCTCTCTGTCTCTCTCCCGTTGCGAAACGGTCGTAAGTCGTTGGCTCGTTGGTTCCTTATTCATTTCCGCCGAGACATAGGAAACCCTATTTTCTCCTGGAATGCCAAGGGAAGCTTAAAAGAAGCTCCATTCATTTATCCTGAGGTCACCACTTAGCTAGGAGGCTCCACAAACATGTCGGTTACGGTAGGTGTCAACGATGGGGCACTAGCCACCCTAGACAAACTCAAAGGAAAAATTAATCCGACGAAAATGAAGTGGTACTGGCCAGGTAAATCTCCGGAATGGGCAGACGAAGCCGATGAAGATGGCGATATCAGGATGTTCAAGATGGACATCCTGGAAAAGGCCTTCCCAAGCCATGACGGCGCTTCCGATCCCGCCTTAAGAGACAATCCCAGGCTCCGCCGTCTGGCCGTGAGCAGGATCGACAATCGCAACGAGGCAAGAGCCAACCACTGGAGAATCCGGCAGCCGAGATTATATCCACAGAAGAGGAGGAAAAGCTAGAAGGATTAGACGTTGAGGAAGAAGATGATGAGGCATTGAAAGAGAGAAGGAGAAGAATCAGGGAGAATGCTCGAATGCGGGAGCGAGAGGAAGCCGTACTGCTTCCTGTAGAAGAGGAAGAAGATGACGAAGAGGCAGAACAAGAAGAGTCGTCGGAGTACGAGGCGGACTCTAAAGAAGAAACAACATGTATGAAAATGGTGAAACCAGTGTTTGTGCCTAAATCAGAGAGTTATATCATAGTTGAAAGAGAGCGGCTTGCGGAGGAAGAAAGGGCTTTTGAGGAGAAGGTGAGGAAGAAAATTGAAGAGAGGAAGGTGGATACTAAGCATATGTTGGTTGAAGAGATTAAGAAGGAAGATCAAATCCAGAAGAATTTGGAGATGGAGGCGGAGATTGTTGATGTGGATACCGATGATGAGATGAATAAAGCAGAAGAGTATGAAACATGGAAAGTGAGGGAAATTGGGAGGATCAAGAGGGATAGGGAAGATAGAGAGGAGATGTTGAAGGAGAAGGAAGAGTTTGAGAGAGGGAGGAATATGACTGAGGAGGAAAGAAGGGAATGGGAGAGGAAGAACCCTAAACCTGCTCCACCACCTAAGCAGAAATGGACGTTAATGCATAATATTATCACAAAGGTGCCTTCTTTCAAGATGAATCTGCTGCGAGTGGTGGGTCAGATAAGAATATCTTTAGTCGGGATTTCTCTGCACCAACTGGTGAAGATAGGATGGATAATACTATTTTGCCTAAAGTTATGCAGGTGAAACAATTTGGTCACAGTGGAAGGACAAAGTGGACTCATCTTGTTAATGAGGATACTACTGATTGGGATAATCAGTAACCCTTGGCTTTACCTTCCTTGAGCTTCACATTTTTTCCCCATTATTTGCGTGTTTTGATGAAAATCCCACTCTTTATGTACTATTTCTACTGTAGGTTAGATTCTGGATTGTGGTTGAATCGGGAAATAATCAATATTCATTTCTGGTACTTGAGTAGATGGACATACAATGATCCACTCCATGCGAAATACAATGCCAAGATGGCTGGAATGAATGCTCCAATAGCTAAACCCAAAGGGAGTAGGAAACTGAAAGACTGGGAGACGAAATAGTAAGGCATCTCTGTTCCTTTTGTTTGTTTGTTATTTTTCTGGGTGGGAGGAGTAAAGGTTGCAGAAATGAGGGGGGGGGGGACTATTTTTATCCCTCAAATTGGCAAATGATGGTTGTGAAATTATCTGTCTTCCATCTAGTGCATCATTTATTCGGTGCCTTCTTCAACCATTGTCGTTCAAGCATTGTTCAGTTGATCTGTCTAACTTTGTCTCATTTGTTAGCTGATGTCTTAGCTTCTCTCAAATAGGTTCATTTTCTATTTATTTATACCCTTTTCATAAATTATCAGTGTTGGATGAAACAGTTATGAAGTGTGAATACATGTGTATACCAGCTTATCTCAATTAGCAGCCCTTGTAGCGAATTTGTAGTTATGCTCTAAGTAAATTTTACTATCTGAAAGCATGTTTTTTGGAATTGTGTAGCCTTGATTATGTGTATTTTGTAGCCCTTATATGTCTGGAGTTTTCTCTGTGCGCTTTCTTCTGGTGAAACTTGTGTTCCACTTTTATTTCACATGCTTCTGTTAGAATATTTTTATGTTTGGTTCTTCTCTGGGAACTTTACAACGATATGCATTTGTGGTGCATTTCACTGATACTGGTGTTGCTTTATCGTTGTACATACCATATCAGTTTGGTTGGACGTCTGTGTGGCTGCTGATTCTTGGCTACCTATTGATGTAGAGGATCATGTTGGCTCTTTGATGCTGCATCGGCTCGGTCACTGGTATGGAAAACTGATACGGGTCTTCAAGCTCCATTATCCAGAGGAATCTGATATGTGTTGTAGTTTTTGTCCCTCCCCCTGATTTGTCAGAAACCATGTGGTTCACCTCCAACTGTGGCAGCCAATTACGGTAGTAATGGTGAGCATGCTTAATATGACTAATTTTAATATCTTGGGGGTGGCTTGCATCCCTGACATCCTGCAAACTGATGCTCCGATGTTGTAAAAAAAGATTAACAAAGCACTCAAATCCAGGCGTTGGAATCCAGATTTGTCCTCTGACGAGGAAATAAGGAGAGAGAGAGAGAGAGAGTAGCTGAAGAGATGCAATAGGGAATATCTGCCTCTCATCCCCCATCTCCTTTGTTTCTCCCATTGGCATAATAATACACTTTGGGCTTCTGGAGAAATGTTATTTATGTGGGAATGTCATACTTAATGTGCTTTATTTTGAAACTCTCTACTCTAGTATCCTCAATATACACTAATAACTATTTATGTGAGCTTGATATGGTTCGTAGTCTGCCCAAGGTCGGCCAGACCTAACGTATGACTCCCTTCCTAACTAGAAGTCTGGAACACGTGATGTGCATGTAGGGATGGCAAACCAGATCCGCTCCAATGGATTTTACCCGAGCTGACCTGCTATGGGGTGGATAAAATCCGACCCGTATTTGAACAGGGCGCATATCGACCCGCTCCGCTATTAAAACAGAGCGGATATGGATCACGACTCCTAACTTGCTCCACCCTGCTCCGCCCCGTCTATTAATCTTCTCACCTTCCGGCTAGTTACCCCGCGTACCATCAATTCCCAATTTTCCATTATTATACCTTGCACTCTAGAATTTTCTATCCACAAAACCCAATCAAATCATCCCTGCTTTCATACCTTTTTCGATTCTTCTTCCTACCCCAATTTTCCAATTCCCAAACATCCCCCAATTTCCCAAATCCCCAATCATCCCAGCCTTTATTCCCATTCCCAATCTCCCACCGTTCAATTCCTCCCTCAATTCCAAATCTCCCCAACTCGTCGGTCTTAGCAAAAGATAAGTTGAAGTGAATGTCACGACGCCACTATAGTCTGCCATCCCCCACTACTTCGGAGCATGTTGTCGTAGTCAGCATCGACTTATGAAGAAAAAGGTAATAAAGCAGTTGGAGAGTGGAGACTAAGGCGTCGCTTCAGTAAACTCCGACGACATTGAAGATCGAGATTCCCATATCTAGAAACCCATACTCCGACGAGAGCACCAAGCTAAAGAGCTTGAAGCCCATCTTTCAAACTCCAGCGACCCAATCTCTGATCTCTCTCATCATTGATCGTTTGAGAAGGACAGAAGAGAACGAGAGGCCACTCTCTTAGATCGTCTTGATTCCCCATCAACAATGGCCTCTTCCGGCGACAACAACAATCTTAGTTGTTTCAGCCGCAATCAACGTTCTACAAAAAAGTGAACAACCATCGACGATGGAACATCAGTAACAAAGAAGAGGGAGACTGAAGCCTTGAAGCTGTTGGACGAGGCTTGAAAAGAAGAGACAGCCCCGTAATTGTTTGGGGCAGATCGGATTTTATCTGCCTCGCGCGAAAGCATGTTTGGGGCGAAATTGTCGACACGTCACGGAGTGCGGGGCAGATCGGATCATCAATCAGGCACGGATTTAGCACTATCCGCTCTGAACATGCCCCGTTGCCATCCCTATGTGCATGCGCTCCCCAACTCAGGTCAATTTCGTTACTGTGAATATTTGTTGACGCCACGTCAACATCAAGTTAACCACTGACTTATATCTATAATGAATTAATGATTAATAAAATTGTTACGACATAAGTGCACAATTGTCATAGATTGAGATATTTTTAGAATATTGAAAAGGCTGTAACACAAGTGATATTTTTCTAATAATTCAGATTTATTAGTGATATTAACCTACTTTATAGGTCACATCTTAGGATTACGGACCGATAAACAACCATAAGTTTACTTCACTACAGAACTCGTTTTGATAAGTCAAACTGCAACGGGGTCAAAGCGCCAACACTCGTCACCAAGAATTGCGCTGGTAATACAGGCCCATCGTGACATTAGGCTTCGTCCAGGCCCACATTCTCTCGAACACTTCTTGGCCTTATACATGTACAAGGAACTGAGGAAGTACGAAATGGCGGAAAAGTGGAAAACTGAGATTTCCTTCTTGGTTCGACAACAAATTTCAATAGCGGCAGAAGCTTCAGGACCCGAACCTTCTCCCACGCTTTCTTCTCCAGTATATGCCTCTCTATCTCTGTTTGTCTCTGTCTCTTACTCTCTCCTTCCACTTGTCGAAACATGGGGGATCGAATCCAACTGACAATTCTGCTCCCAATTAGAACATTTTGTTGCCACAGTTTCTTGAAGTAGAATGCAAACCTTCAAAGAAAAAGAGGCGCTTTGCAGCCGGTACGAAGGCGGATTAATTCTCTAAATACAGTAATAATTAAAAATAATTCCCAGAATACATAACTTTTATAAAAAATTCACAAACTACCAAAGTTTGGCATGGTTCGAGTTCAACAAACTCGAACTAGTACCGGATCGACTGCCAACAAATCGATCCACGTGCATCGAGGAAGGAAGACTCGAACTGCAAGACCTGGATCGATGACCTGGGCAGCGCTCCACCCTAGATCGATGTACCGGGAAGCGATCTAGGCCGTTCGATTGCTCAACCTGCGAAGCAGTGATGACGCGGATCGAGTGTGGGAAACTCGATGTTAGTAGATCGAGTCATTGGTAATCGATCTGATTGACGCGGATCGATGACCTAAGGCGCGCACTACCGTTGATCGAGTACTCTAAACTCGATCTAGGCCGTTCGATTACCAAACCCGCGAAGCAGGGATGACGCGAATCGAGTTGGTGAAACTCGATGCAGTAGACCGAGACCGTGGTAGTCGATCTAATTGTCGCGGATCGATGACGTCAGGCGCGAACAACCGTTGATCGAGTACCCTAAACTCGATCTGGATCGTTTGATGCACCTAACCACGAACTGCTTTTGACGTGGATCGAGTGCCCCAAAATCGATGCATTGTTTCGAGTTCTGTAAACTCGATCCACTCTCCCACGGATCCTATAAATACCCCCTCCCATTCCACCAAAACTCACACCACTCCATTCTTCTTCCTCTCTTCCTCCCACCACTCTTGAAGAAAAAAATATGCTCTGTGGTTGCGGCTAAGCCCGATTGCCACGAAATACTGGAATTGGATATGGAGTTGAATATCCTCCTGCACCTGCACCGCCACGTCCTTCCTCCCACGCCATTGAAGTTGAATCTCTCCCGCTATCACCACCAAGGAGGAGTAAACGTCGGCAAGAGCCAGTTACAGTCCCTGTGCAAGTACGAGAAGATGTGGCACTTCCTGACCCATACGAGTATGGATTCCCTCCAGTCATAAGGAAATTCAGAGAGGGATCATCAGGTCCTGCTCAAGGAGGGGGAGGAGGAGCCTACTATGCTTCATCGTATGGTCATCAATTCCAAACCCCGCAGCAAAGCTTCCAGACTCCGATGACAAATGTTTATTATGGTCCTCCAGCCACTGCAACCCCACCTCCATTGCCACGAAATACTGGAATTGGATATGGACTTCGTTCAAGGAATAGACGTCGAAGAGAGGGACACGGACGTGGTGCACAAGAGTGAGGTGTTCTTTAGAGTTGTTAAGTTGTTCTATTTCTGATGACGTTGTTAAGTTGTTCTATTTCCTTAGAGTTCTTGTCATGTTCTATTTCTAATGACGTTTTTAAGTTGTTCTATTTCTTTAGAGTTGTTAAGTTGTTCTATTTCTAATGACGTTGTTAAGTTGTTCTATTTCTTTAGAGTTCTTGTCATGTTCTATTTCTAAGGACGTTGTTAAGTTGTTCTATTTCTTTAGAGTTGTTAAGTTGTTCTATTTTTAATGACGTTGTTAAGTTGTTCTATTTCTCTAGAGTTGTTAAGTTGTTATAAATCACAACATAAAATTAATATTACAACATAAAAGTCAAATTACAACATAAAGTTCCTAAATCACAACATAAAATTCAAATTACAACATAAACTTTCAATTGTGAGTCGATGGCCCTGGACACTGGCGCCTATCATGCCCTTCAACTCCACATGCAGAGCACTTCTTCGGGCGGCGTCGCTGTGTCCTTGATCTATCCAATTCATTTGCAATTCGGTTAACTCTAGGTCGACCTTTGGTACGCTTCATGTGCTCGGGAGGGTACACTACAGGTCCATCATACTGGGGCCAATATGCTTCATGAGCTAAGGGAAAGAACGACCCTTCCCAAACTCTGACCACGTATGGAGTCTTGTAGTATGGACTAACACATATCAAAGGGTCCAAATTAACGTTTCTCGCTGCTGCATATGCATGAGAGCAAGGCAGGTGTCTCCCTTGAAACTTCCCGCAAGTACACTCTCCTATTCCATTCCTTGCATCCAGTATGACTGTTTGAGCATTACCACCCTTTGAACTATCTGGTCCACTTCCTGTTACTACTGCAAAGCGGGAATCTCTTCGACTAAATAAAGTCACCTTATACCATTTTGCCCTTTCCGACCATGGTTTCATATCATCCGTAATCTTCTTTGGGATGTAGATTCCAGCATTCAGCATCTGATATGCTGCTTGGTAGCGTTCAACGAACCATGTCACCGTACGAAAGAAGGTATGCAAGACTATAGATGAGATAGGCATTGCACGAAGACCAACATACAAACCATTGAGGCACTCACCTATGTTCGTTGTTGTCATTCCATACCTATACCCTTCGTCTTGATGTAACGTCCACCTCTCAAAAGGATGAGTTTCTAGCCAATCTGCACCTTCAGAGTGGACCTCCCTTATGCTCTTCATTTTGTCTACAAACTTTCGAGTCTGAAAAGCAATAGCTACAATAAAGCAAAATAAGGTGAGTAAAGGAGTATACGCATTCAACCAATTGATATAATCACAACATCTTATTTGTTCTTACCAGCGTGCCAAACTGCACGTTGTCCATAAGTTCTACCAAAGTGCTTCTCGTAATTGCTTTTGAAATGTCGTATGCACCAGCGCCACTTCCACCCTAGCTCCTCGGGCAGGTCGTAGAAGCATGTGCAATTCCATGGTGTCGATCAGAAAGTATGGCAATGTCCTTCTGTTGAGTGACACGAGTGTATAGTTGGGAAAAAAACCATGCTCAACTTAAGTTGTTCTCCGATTCGACTATAGCAAATGCAAGCGGGAAAAGTTGCATACTGCCATCAACACTAGTGGCAACGAGTAGAGTGCCATTGTATTTGCCGATCAGAGAGGTGTCATCAACTTGGATTATTGGCAGACAATGGGTGAAACCATCAATGCATGATTTGAATGCCCAAAATAGTCGCTTAAACACGCGTTTAGCACCCCCATAGAAATCTTCGTAACTAGGCACAAAAACAGACCCAGGATTCTTGTCCACCATTGCAAGAATCAAACGAGGCATGTTAGCAAATGACTCTTCCCAATCGCCATACACCTCTGCCATAGCTTTTTGCTTCCCATGCCATGCTTTCTTGTAACTAATGGTATAGCCATGTCGATTCTTCACTTCAGCGATGACACTCTTCACGGTGATCCCAGGTTGTGCCTCAATTAGATGTTTGATTGTTTGTGCAACCTTCCTTGCACTCAATTGTCGGCGATCTAGAGAAATCAGTTATGACCTACAAGTGTGGTTGTTGTCTGTCTTACGAATGAGCCAAGCCCCATTTCTTTTAACATATGTCGCCCGAACATGACACATGCATCCGTCGCCATGGTTCTCGCAACGAACATGAATTTGTTTAGTGTCAGAAGTAATGACACGATATTGAAAGCTTCTTCGCATAGCAGTTTCTTTCAATGCATCGACCACCTGAGGCTTTCCTCCAAATGTTTGGCCAACCACGAATCCAGAATCAAGAGTCCAGATAGGTATAGGAGGGAGGTCAGGATCGTCGTTGTGAGCATAGAGAGGATGTTGTGGCACCATCGTGTAGTGAGGTGTGGGGGGCTGAAATTCCCCCTCATCAACTTCCATATCTTCACCATCTGAACTACTCATTGATTCTAACTCTTCATCTTCCACGTCGCTTGCCTCGCTAGTGTACGGAGGACTTGGTTTATCCACATACGGATCATTGTTGATGCCATATGCTGGTGTAGATGCTTGTTTGGGTGCCCTTATGTAATCTCATTCTTCACCCCATACTGGCCACTCCTGTCCGTCATGTTCCACCAATGGACCAGTTGCAGTTCGATCCTCGTATGTTTATCCTGCCTCTTCCGTCTCCACTGTGAGGCCATCGCCTCCGCCAGCCTGGCCATCGCTCGCGTCGGACTCGCCTTCGTCCTTGCTCTGGGTTGCCATCCTGAACTACTAATCAAGAACGCTGCCGTCAACGACATTCTCCCTCGCCGCCCTCAACTAATCCCATATCTGTCTAAAGCAAGATCGTCGTAGCGTCGCCGTCATGCGCGCATCGATGTCGATTACCAAATCTGTCCTAGCAACGTCGTGGTCTTACCGTCTCATCTCTTCCAGCCATCAAAATTGATGGATCTCTGCAACGTTGGCGGGTCTCTTCCAGCTGTGAGAATGTTGTCACCACGCCGCCGCATCGATCTGCTCTCCCCCAAGCATCTCTTTACGTTGGCGGATTTCCATATTTCACAATAATATCTATCGCGTAAATGAGAATTGTTATATGTAGTAGTGATTTTCCATATTTGTAGTAACGTTTTCTGGTTTAATTAGTAGTAATTTTACAGATCTGATTGAGGTTTTATGGTGTAGCAGTGGTTCTTGGGTAAACTACATATTTTAATCAATAAAAATTGCTACGCAGGAAATATAAAATAATACAAGTAAATTCCTGAATCACTACTAATGACAAATAAATTGCTACAAGGAAAGTCCTAAATCACTGCTAATGATAATTAAATCGCTACTAAAAAATTCATAAATTACTACAGATAACAATTAAATTCAAAAACACTACTATCAAACCCCAAAATCTTTTTCGATAAAAAAATTACAAACACACAGATGAGAGAAAATATATTTTAATTTGTTAATTATTTCTAATTGTGTGAAATACCGAACAAACCCTTCATTACTTATCACCATTGGATTCAACTTAAAAAAATGAACGGTGATTAAAGCAGTTATTACGGTGCTAACTCCCATGAAGTTAGCACCCTAACCTCTCCCACGTAAGTACTGAATTTTACACATAGATAATTCTCTTTTGCTCAAAGCTTCAAAAAGGGAATTTTGCATAAGAGTTGTGAAAATAAACAGGAAGAGTTCTGGCCGTGGTGGTTGAAGTTGTAAGCTTTCAGAGAAGTGGAAGAACAATGCTTTATAAACTTGCCACAAATATGTACAATCTATATATTCCCGAATTACCCTAGTTCGCCGGGTACCTATAGTTCGTCGTACAGAAATGAATATACTACAAAGAGAAACTGATTTCAGTCTCTGCTACTGCTATATATATGTTGACTGAAGAGAGAATAAAATATATGAAAATTGATTCTAATGCTTACAAGATTGAAATTTTGGTACAACAAAGAGATTCTGTTGCTTAGAAAGAGGTCCTGCTCCATCTGGGAACACCACGCCCGTATTCCCATCACCGAAACTTAGCCACCCATCCATCGTCAAGCCAAAGTATCTCCAGAGCTTCTTCGTCCATATATCTCTCCAGCATGAGCCACTGGCACGTATACTGCATCCATTAAAGAGCTGTGTTTTCTGCCATAGAACAAATACACTACGACGCCAATCGCCAGCCATACAGAGACACGAGCCCATGTGGCACCACTGCAAGATTTTAAGAAACATGCCCAATTTATATTCAGATTGGATGGAGCAACAGAAAACATAATATTGGACACTCAAAAATCAAAATCAACATTGATGAGCATAATATTGGAGTACTCACCCGAGATTGACGAGCAGGTAGATATTGATCAGAATGCAGAAGATTGGGAGCAGAGGAACAAACGGGCATGTGAAACCTGAAGAAGAAAAAATGACATCCCCAAACGGTACAAATTGTTAACAAATGCATCAATCGTGACTTACATTTCCTAAGGCAGCTATTTATGGCAACCCGAATGGCATCCGCTAAGTCAGATTAGCGGACAAGTAAAAACGCAAGTAATATAGAAATGCTTCCTCGAGTCAACCTTTATTCCTATTTGCTGAATCATGACTCCTGCAGGTAACGTTCCTGAAATATATATTTGTAGGGTGATTGATGTCATACCTCCAGAATGTCCAAAGTTGTGCCTTGCTTCATCTTGCTCTATACATGTCAGCACAACCAAGCCAGTCAGGAGAAGAGCTCCACCGAATCCACACAAGCAATACCGAACAAGCCTGATGATATAAAATTCAAACACATAAGATCAGCTCATTTCTCTAATTTCATGGGCAACTATAAGCATTGGTGACACAACGAGTTATGAGTGTATGCATGCTGGACCAAGGGAACACAACCCACCACTGAATAGCCAAATTTGAAGCTGCGTATGTAAGGGTGAATGCTCCAATGCATGTGAATGCTATGGTCCAGCCAGCAATCTTCCTCCTTTTCTCTTCACTTAACACATCTGAACCCATAAACAAAACATGACACATGAAAAATAAAATTAAGTCTATAGTCTTGTGCGTGTAAAACTTCAACAGTCTCTACATTTAGATAAAATTTATGGGCAATCAAACATTGGGGGACCAGAGGGTAATTATAGCTACACATACTCCATCTGCTGACATCAAACATTTGGATATACATAAATAAGCAGTTAAGCAATAAAGCTGTGTCATGCAAGAGAACGAGGAACTTACATTTAACTGAAGGGTCCTCTTTGACAAGGTCAGGATAGTCCGCTGGTGCATTCTTTCCAACAAGCAAAGGTAATTTAGAATCCTTGGAAATGCTGGCATGAGCCTTTGACTTTTTCTTAGTAGAACCCCCACTAATTCTGTTGTAATGCAATGACACACTATCTATTGTGTCCTGGAGTGAGGATGGAACAGGCACCTCATCCGGTGGCACATATCTGAGTATTAGCACAGAAATCGCAACCATAGTGAATGCAAGAAGTGTCCCCACACTGACCTGCAAGAAATACAACAATCATTATCATAAAGAGATCTATGGCATGAATGGGAACTGTAGGTTAAAACACTGCCACATACCATGCCTGCCAATTGATCAACATCCATACAAAAAGCTAGGGTGGCGGCACATAGTCCCGTCACCACAGTGCTCTTCACAGGAACTTGACTTTTTTTGTTGACATCTGAGAAAAATGATGGCAGCAATCCATCTCTAGCCATAGCCATTAAGATCCGAGGCTACAATAAGAAAAAGGAAGGGAATAATTACAAATTCTGTCAATGTGGAAAAACCAGAAAAAAATTATCCCACCTAAGAGATTTATTCCACTAGATTTACCTGAGGTAGCATTGACCCCATCAATGTGGAACACAGTGCCATGACAGCTCCAGCTGTAATGATGTAACTGTAATCAGAAGTAACAATCGTAAGAAACAAACTTCAAATACCTCCAAAGTCATTAAAAAAAGAGCTTAGCCAGTATGTATTACTTACACTGCCCATTGCATCCCATGAGCAGCAAATGCAGATGAGATAGGAGTATCGGGATCCATTGCATAGTATGGCACCAAACCGACAACAACAATCGACACCAGCATATAGAGCGAACAACAGATGGACAATGCAAACCCTATTCCCATAGGCAAATCACGTTGAGGATTCCTCACCTGTTCATAATGTTAAAAAAAACAAAGTTAATACATGGGCAAACACAAGGCAAATATCAAGAAGGGGAAAAAAACTCTAACGTAGAAAAGAGAGCGGTTTCAACCTCTTCAGCTGTGCTGGCAACTGAATCAAAACCAATGTAAGCAAAGAAGACAACGGCGGAACCTGCAAGCATGCCATCAACACCAAAGGGGAAGTACCTGCTCATTTGGAAATATATGGTTAGTGGGAAATTATGATAACCCACCATATGTAACCTAGAATAGATTGTAAAGATTTATTTACCCAGTAGGAAGCTCATATCCAGACCAGCCAGTCTTGAAGCCCAAGTAAGTTCCAGCTATTATGACGAACAGCATGGCACATAAGTTCACGGTGGTCACTATGCCTTGGACCATAGTACTCTGTAAGCAGCAAGGAATTTTTGAGTTACAAGCAAAGAACACTAGTAGGAATAAAATTGTAAAATGAAAAGAGAGGACGGAACAAAAGGACACCTCCTTGATTCCCACACACAAGAGCCCAGTGACAACAAACACAAGAATTGCCGCACATGGATCCACTACAATACCAAGCCCCGGGATCGCTTGACGTGCCAGGAAAAATGGAAGGCTGCCTTCACCTCCAAATAGCAATGCCTGCCCACAAGAAATAATAGACCTGTTAGTTAAAAGAAAAGAAGAAGAAAAAAAAATCAACATGTGCTAATAGATCTGGAAACATTGTGAATGCAACTTGACTGAAAACCGATACAGTTGATCCTGACCAACCACATGCTATTGTCTAAAGACTCCCAATCAAACCCAAAAATTTCCCTTTCATTCCTAATGGGACTAGGAATGACTTCTGAGAATTCACAGCAAAATGAAGATCGGAATAACAGTAGTTTCAAGAATTCAAGCACTGAGTATACCTATCTTAATGTATACAACGGTGTCACATGCCATCTTATTAATAGCCAGGGAGAGGGATACAATATAGCAAGAAAAATCAAAGAAACAAAAGTGTTTGAGCATGTGAAGTTAAATAACCAGATTGGGGGAAATGCCACGAGCAACTGCTGACCCGCCGATTGTGTATTCCAGAATCAGAGCCCAGCCCACCAACCAAGCAACTCTGCACATCAGAGTGGTTATTGGTAAGATCACTAAAACTTCACGAAAGAAGAAAACTGACATGCAAACTGGAACTGCATTTACTAAAGAACATAACCAGCGCTGACTTTGATAAGCAACTAACTTAATCAACAGCAAACCCTCATCAAATCATTTGTTTAAGAATTCTCTAAACATTAACATGATACTACACATGAACTGTGAGTCCTCATCAACCATTTTTTTGAATATTTACTTAGGCCAAAATGATGCGATATAAACAAGTTATAACTTTGATCGAGAAGTGAACTGACTGTGCAAGTTCCATATATAAGTAAACAACTTTCAAGACATCAGAAGATTATTTAACTTACCCTTCTCCGACACAAATGTACGAGTAGTGATAGGCACTGCCAGCAGATGGGCAGCGACTTGCAAGTTCTGCATAGCAGAAGGCTGATAAAGCGGCAGCAAATCCAGCGATTAGAAAAGATAAGGCAAGTGCTGGCCCTGCGTGTTCCCTAGCAACAGTCCCCACCAGAATGTAAACTCCAGCTCCAATCGTCGAACCAACGCCTGATCCAAAGCGTAACCACCGTCAGTTAGCAGAGTAACACCACATCAAACACAATCAATTATAAATAAATAAAAAGGATCCGTCACAGTAAAGGAGTAAAAGGATAGACAAGCCAAGAGCAGTTCACAGGGAGTTCAGTAGGATCATCATCATCACAATTAACTGTAAGTCGCAATTAACTCTGCAGTTAAACCAAACAGAAAAGGATAAATGACCCAAGTTGAGCTGCTAACCCAAGAACCTTATCCAAAGCAAATTCACACTCATTTGAGAATCGACATGAATCATGAACTATGAAGCAAAAACAAACAGATTAACGAGAAGGAGAAAAGTCCCAATTGAATCTTCCAAAAAAGTGGAAAGAAACAAAAGCTTTGGGATTCCAAACTCAGGCATTACCAATGGCAATGAGATGAAGAACAGACAGCTCCTTGGCCAACTGGTGGTGGCCGTGGACATTGCCGTCAGCAGAATCAACCTGTTTCCTCCTTATTAGAGTCTTCACGCAACCTCCCAAGAACCCGATTCCGCCATCCTTTTGCGAATCCACCAGAAACCCCATCAAAATCTTATTCCCGCTCGCCCTCCTCTAAACTCCCCAAGCTCCGGAACACAACCCCAATTATATTCCCCTGGACTCCAACTCTTCTCAGATAGAATCAGGGCCCTTGGTATCGATGAAATTGATTAAAACAACTAGGGCAGAGATGTAGAATATATCTATATGTGGTAAAAGATGGAAGAATTGGGTAGGAGCAGAAGGAAGAGCCGGAAGGCGGCCCGCGTCCCCGGCGGCGGGTTGACGGGGGTGGTTGAAGAATTTTTCGCGGGGTTTTTTGCGAGCTCTTCCTTCCGAATTGGGGGAAAGTGATGTGAAGGAAGGGGAAGCTGGCAGATTCTGAAGGATTAAGAGAGAAATGGGAAATCTGACTGCTTATGTAGGCAAGGCGGCCTGTTTGGGGAGTTACTGGCTAGCGTGTGGAGGCAGGATGACGGAGCTCAGCGGATTTGAATGTTCATTATTTGGCCGTATCCGTTTCCAGTGCAGTGCTGATTGGATTTCACGGCTGCTAATATTAATTATGGGTTACACGGGCCAAAACTTAAATTTCAGAATTGGTTATTATATTCAAAGGTTGTCAAATCGATTTAAGTGGTCGAGCCAATCAAGTAAACGATTTTTTATGGTTTGATCAGAGTTTAATCTGATTGAATTCTTTTACATAGAAAACTCAAACTATAAAGAAAGTGTAACTTGTGTTCCAAAATATTCAATATGACATTCATTTCCTGAACTATTTTTTTGTTGGTGTTTACCGAGTTTGACCGTCAATATTTAACAGAAAATTCATTCAGTGTCAACGGGGCATCTGATATGGAATTTAAATCTTAATTTTTACACCAAATCTTCTTAATCGCTCCGTCGATTCCGCTCCTATGTCAACATCAAGTTGACCATCATCTGGTCAACCATTATCAATAACGATTAACGAAATCGACATGACATAAATGACACACAACTATCATATGTTGGGACATAAACATAATATTGAATAATTCGAGACACAAATGACATTTTCTTGATAGTTCGGGTTCCATCCGCTACCTTCTTTTCTTTTGCCTGACATTCTGACAAGGATACACATGAGAGAGAAAATGTTTTTTATAATCTTTTATTTTCTTAAATCGGATCCTGTATCACACTCTTAACTAGGGATGGCAATGGGTCGGGTTGGGTCGGGTTTTGCCAAACCCAAACCCATGGGTTTATCTTTGAAAAAAACCCGGGGTAAAACCCATTGGGTTTGAAAAACTCAAACCCAACCCAACCCGTTGGGTATTGTCACGGCCATAGACTTCCGAAGTCCGTGCGGCGTCTTGAGGTGCACTCATTCCTCAAGACCAGCCTCTCTGCATACGCATGCCAACTGGTTTCGCCCTGCCTTGGGCTCATCAGGGAGACGGCAATAGCCTCCGACCAGTTGTGCCTTCTCTTGCAACGATCCCCTTCATAGCCACATCCTGACTCGGCTAGATGCGATGCACAGGCAGACAACGCCTTATCGCTAATGTCGCCCCCTTTACCCTTCTCATGGCAAGACAACCAGAGTGCAGCGTTCTTCAGACGATCAACACGGTCACGACATTTTGGGTCGTGACATTCTCCACCACTCATAATGGAGCACGTCCTCGTGCTGGTGAAGAATGCTTCTCTCCGCAACATGTATTGCAACTCTCGAACCGATTGTGGGCGTCCGCATACGATACCATCCTCTGATGGACAGGCTCCGGTCGCGTCTCTCGCGCTAGCCTGCTGTGCCCCGCGCACATACCGCTTCGCCCCTCGACATCAACCTTCACTCTTTGCTTCTGTTGCGCTAGTACCTCAGTCGACCTTCACCCTACGCTACTCCCAGCGTTTGTACCTCAATCGACCTTCACCCTACGCTCTCGCTAGCGTTAGTTCCTCGGTTGAACGGCATTCTCGACCGCCGCATCTTCAGCCTGTCGAGGCCTCCCACAGCGGCGCAACACATGTGTATCTGCGTCCGGACCGCCTGATATGCTCACCCAGGACCGCCTCTCATTCGGGCATAGGGTCGGCCCATACACGACCTATGCCGTACTGAGAGAGGAACTAGGCTCTTCAGCCTGACCAGGCTCTGATACCATTTGTCACGGCCATAGACTTCCGAAGTCCGTGCGGCGTCTTGAGGTGCACTCATTCCTCAAGACCAGCCTCTCTGCATACGCATGCCAACTGGTTTCGCCCTGCCTTGGGCTCATCAGGGAGACGGCAATAGCCTCCGACCAATTGTGCCTTCTCTTGCAACGATCCCCTTCATAGCCACATCCTGACTCGGCTAGATGCAATGCACAGGCAGACAACGCCTTATCGCTAATGTCGCCCCCTTTACCCTTCTCATGGCAAGACAACCAGATGGCAGCGTTCTTCAGACGATCAACACGGTCACGACATTTCGGGTCGTGACAGTATCCGCGGGTTCATGGGTACCCACGGGTTTTGTCGTAAAAAATTTACAATTACAAGTTCTTATGAAAATTAAAGTCAAATATCAATCTCTCAATACAAATTATCCATATATAAAACACCATTCTAGAAAATTCAAGCAAATCACAAATTAACTATACAAATTGTTCAACACCAATTTAGAAAACTCAAGAAAATTGAAGCAAATCACAAATTATCCATAAATAACATGTTTAATTGAAAGCTTCTTTCTTTCAATTAAGTTTCTTTACTCTCCACTCCATAACATCAACTTCATTCTACACAATTAAAAAGAAAAAATTAGGCATGTCTCCACAAACATAAATAAGAATAGTTTTTTAGAATATTAAATATACCGAAATAATTAATTATATGAGTGGGCGGGTACCCACGAGCCGGGTTTACCTAAACCCAAACCCAACCCAACCCAGTGAATAGTGAACGGGTTTAAACCCAAACCCGGCTCAAAACCCGTCAACACGGATTTTACCCGCGTTGACCAGATTGGGTCGGATGGGTACCCGTGGGTTCGGGTTTTGTTGCCATCCCTACTCTTAACGTAGGTGGTTCCATTTTTAGTATTGTGCACTGGTGGTGCGAAAGAGTACCTTGTAGTTTATGTTTTTTAGTGCCCATTAACTTTATAATTTTGGCAAAATACACTTCCATAGCCACAACTATCAGGTTTGTGACAAATATAGCCACATCTATCGAAATACAGGAAATAGCCATTTTCGTCCACTCCGTTAACTCCGTCAGTTAAAGGGATGACTGGACTAACGGTGAATGCTTAGTTGGCGTTTTTCTGACCCCACTAACTGATGTGGATTAAAAGAGAAAAAAAATAAAAAAACACACATCAGCGACAACTCATTCTCACTTGCCTCATAGCCGTCACGTCATAATTTACTTTTAAAAATATATATTCTTTCATTTATTTTTCTTTTCCTTTCTTTAATCGCACCCAAAATCCTCAAATTGGCTCGTCGTCCCATAGCCAAATCGTCGCAGCAATACAAACTGAATCCACCGCACCCTCTCCTCCCAGTCCCAATCCGACTTTTCAAGTCGCCCTCTCTCCCATCTCCAGGAAGCTCTTCGGGCGCCGCTAATCCAAACTCCAAATCCTTGGTCGCCATTGTTGCCATCATTTATCCTTCATGTCCTTGCCCAATTGCCAACAAAAAGTAAAAAAAAGGCAGAAAGTAGATGGGAGAAAGAATCAAGTGGTTGAAATGCCCAAACCCCAATTCCTTTTGTGATCCATGCCCTGAACCCTGCTTCAGTCCCTCCTCTGCTCCACCTCCAATTTCGATTCATACCTGTCAAACCGGGCCGCTCAATTAGTACGATATTGTCCGTTTTGGGCCAAGCCCGCACGGTTTTACTCTTGGGTGTCCTCCCCATAAGGCCTCGTACTAAATTGGGTAGGTGTACACTAATATACAAGGTTTCCTTCCCTTGTATTACCGATGTGGTACTTGGATTGCCCCATAACAATCCTCCCCTCAAGACAAGGACCACGAACTTTGTATCCTCTCCTCGGCGATTATCTTGATCCGCCAGATGCCTTGTATCGATGGGCTTCTCGGTACAAGGACTTTACCAGACGCGGAACTCTCTTTGATCTGCTTCCCAAATGCGGAACTCTCTTTGATCCGCCAGACAAACGCAGATCTCAAATCCCGAGGCCCACCGAACGAGGGTCCATCAAACTGACGTCCACCGCCCTGGATCCGAATCAGGCTCTGGTACCACTTGTCAAATCGGGTCGCTCAATTAGTACGATATTGTCCACCTTGGGCCAAGCCCACACGTTTTTACTCTTGGGTGTCCTCCCCAAAAGGCCTCGTACTAATTGGGTAGGTGGACACTAATATACAAGGTTTTGATACCACTTGTCACAAATTGGGCCGCTCCTCTAATATACAAGGTTTTGATACCACTTGTCACAAATTGGGCCGCTCCTCCCCAAAAGGCCTCGTTCTAATTGGGTAGGTGGACACTAATATACAAAATTTCCTTCCCTTGTATTACCAATGTGGTACTTGGATTGCCCTATAACAATACCCTAAATCAACAAACGCAACAAACCCAGCTGCGTTACGACTCTAGAAACTCAGAAGACCAAATCTGCGCAAACCCCTTCTTCGATTTGGGGAAGCCGTCGATGGAAGTTGAAGAGGAAGGTGGGAGTTACCTGCGAAGTGACGACGGCCACCGTCGAGTAGCAGGAGTCAATCGATGAAGCCCTATGTGGTGGCAAGAATGACGATGCTGCTCTCTCCCGTCGATTTGCCAGAGGAAGGAACAATTTGGCAGTCGCTCCTACTCTCCCATCAATCGTTCGGCGAAATAAGAAGAATCCGTAGACCGCAGCTGCCGGAAAAAGTGGGGAATCTTAATCTGTTACCTCTCTTCATCGTCGTTCTGGTTTCGGCGGAGAAAGGAGGGGAGAGATGGAGAGGAAGACCGATGGTTATCTTTTAATATTTTATGTTTTAATATTTGTTTTGTTTTTGTTTTTTATTTTATGTGGCAGGTGAGATAGATCTGATTCAAAATTCCGTAAGTGAATTTAACGTTGTCATACACGTCGTTATAGTTTCAAATCGAAGTGGCTAGATTTGTCATACAACCTCTCGATATTTAGCTATTTCGTGTATTTCGATAGTTGTGGCTATATTTGTCACAAACCTGAAAGTTGTGGCTATACAGCTGTATTTTGACTAATTTTAATTGAATTGTGTTTCATTTTATACTTAGTCATAAGAAGTTTAAGTTAGACAACGAATGAAATAAAAAACTATTTAGAATCTATATTCATGCCTTGAGATATTAACCATCATTGAATCAAAACAACAAATTTCAACAAAGCTCTTTATTTTTGTTATATGTGAAACAATTAGCTTGTAAATGAAGCTTTGAAAATTAATTAATATATTACTATATCACTATTATTGATTTATATATTGTAGGTTATCATCTATTGAATTAAAAAGGAAATAATATACTGAATATTACTAT